AAGCGATGGACAAATATCCGGACACTAATGCAGTTCTGGTGCGAAGACATGGAGTGTATGTTTGGGGACAGACGTGGAAAAGCGCTAAAACAATGTCTGAATGCTATGACTATCTGTTCAAACTCGCGGTCCATATGAAGACATTGGGTTTGGATCCGTCGGCTAAGCCTTTAGTCTGAAATGTTTTGAATTTTTGAAATGAAAGGCTTGTTATGAATGAAAACAATTAAACAATAATTTGCTCTCATTTTCTGTGAATTTGAAAACTATTTTAATGATTGATTCCTCGCTTTGTTTTGTATCACTTATACAACGGTTGTCCGCATTCAAGTGAACGAGTGCTCAAAATAATAGGTCTTTTGATTAATTAAAGTCTCATTTATTATCGAAATTTGGATTCTGTTATCAAATGGAGAGCTGTTATAACAAACAGCCGTAATATTCAGGGCTGTTCTCAATTCACACAGACTTTCCGATAACCACTTAATCTCTTTCTAAAAACAACTTTTAAATCAAATGATTATTAAGTTTCGCTAATTTGTGTGGAAAATGGTTTGAATAGCTTTGAACACAATTGACATACAAGTAGACAGTTTTGGTTCAAATTCAATTTCTCATTACTTAATAGAAATGAATAAATATTTAATGAGAGAAAAAATTATTTTAAGATTTAATTTTCGTTTAGAAAAATAAGGACTAAATTTTAATTCAATGATAAGTTGACTACAAAATTGAGGTCTAATTTGTCGATCAAATCCATCAAAACTTATCGTACAATAAAGGCGTGACTTTATGTAAATTCAAGGCTAACTCACTGTTCATTCAAATACAGGCATCAAATGGTCTATTGATTTGAATTAAATTGCTTTACATTTAAAATTAAATATATTTTGTTTTAAGTTTTAATTCATAATTAACATCAAAATTACTGAAACATGTTTTGCGGACACAAATTAGGTCTCAATTATAAAAGATTAGATTTAAATGTTCCCACTCTTGAAGAAGTAAGTCGTGTACTTCGCGAGGGTTTAACGCCATTCTTCGAGACCGTAGACGTCTCTGTAGTCGACTGTCCAGACCTAAGACAAGCGCCTTTCCATTTGGCACAGAGAGGTCTCAGCGGTGATGAAAAGGTTGCCGACATCGGAGGTGTGCCTTATTTGGTGCCATCGGTTCAAAGAGACAAATATTATTCACTCAAAGACATGGCCAGTGTGTTAGGGATGGATGAAAGCGCTTTCCTCATCGGCGCCGGTGCCGGTCCTCACCGCGAGGTTGGCATCAATTGTGAACTAATGCCAAACATTAGCTTTGAAGACAAACAAACTAAGATCACTAACAGAACACATATCGCAAAGGTTTGATTTCTTCCTAAATTCATGTCATTTTACCAAATGATTGGTTTAGTTTAAGCACTGATTGTTATCTATAAATACACTTTCAATAGTGTTTTCGAGTTTATTCTTACATAGAGTTTAAATTGACGAACAAATCCAATTCAATGTCAAATACACTATTATTAACTCCAATAGAGTCACAAGTTTTAACATGTTTTACTTTTTTCAACTGATTTTAAAGTTTGATTAACTATATAATCGTTTTGTTGTTTTTATATATTTTGCTATTAATGATGCTTATTTTAAAAATGAATTTAGAAATAAATGGTCAAATATTATAAAATGATCACAAAATTACATTAACTATATTATAAATGAATGCTTCAATGAATCCATATTTTACTCATTTAGGAAAATAATAATTTTTATATAAAAAACTAAAAATATGTTGAAAGTGCAGTACATTTAGAAATGTGATGTAATAGTGAGCTAACAATTTTGAAACCTATTTGTAGGTCAGACTCTATATCCATATGTAGTAAATCTATAAGTCTATAATTACTTTACATTACAAAGTTTATAACTATAGCTTAAACCACGATTCCGTTCAAATGGATTAGATTTAATGCAAATATAAAAAATGTTATTTATTCCGACACTACTAAATAACTAACAAATATTATATATTATAATCTACTTAAAAATGTATCAATATATTAATTCTAACAAAAATATAATATTTGTAATCTAACACTAAATTTTATATTTTGAAAAATAGTTTTTATTGCAATCAAAGAATTAATTTTGTAATAATTATATTGAATACAGAAATATTTTTAAATCTATATTTACATTACAATCGAAAGTTGTAAAAAGTCACATAAAAATTCGTAAAATTTACAAATTTAAATAAAATTAATTATTAGTTTTATGTATTGATAAAATATTTTCAATTAGATTATGGTGAATGAAATGATTTGTGAACAGCATTCCCATCGCTAGTAAATGACATGTGTTTAAGTTTGACATTCACTCCAATTAAGCCGACATTAATTGCATTTTATTAATACATAATATAGTCGACGGGTATTCGCAATGCTTTGATGTTTGAGACGTTGAACTCATTTAAATTGTTTGAAAATGAATTATATGTTTGGCTCACAGTTTTAAGTGTCCGTTAAATTCTTGGGGGAAAATAAATTTTTGGTTTGATTTCCCAAAATTTGGGTCAATTGATTGAAATCATTTCAAACGAAACGTTTAATTATAAACGTATTGAAAAATAGTTTTTAAATTATTTTCTTTTCTTATTTCTCTTATTAAAATGAAATAAATTTTATGTGAGATTTTATTTATTGATTATTTATATTTGAAATTATGATTTATAGGTTGACGAAAGGGGTGGCTGTCAGCTATCTATTGCCAAAACCACCGATTTTGCACTTTTGGCCAATTTGTATGCATCCGAAGGCAAACCGGGAAAAGTCCTCAAAGTTTATGTCAAGAAGAGAATCGGTTCCGAGAATTTTGTCACAACTTTGAGACAAATCCTAAACAAACATTATGGTAATCGGGCCGTCAGTTTGGGAGGCGTTTTCCTATTGAGAGGGGGTTCGGCTAAACTCCATATTATGCCTGATTTTAGTACAACTCCATTAAACTCTGACCAAGACGTTAATAATTGGCTCAACTTTTATTCAATGGATTCTCCGCTCATTTGTTTGAGTGTTTTTCACTCATATGATCCCGATTTAGATCTTCGTATAGAACACACCCACTGTTTCAGTGACCATAATCAGGGCGGACACTATCACTACGACAATACACCTGACACTATCGAGTTTGTCAATTATATTTATAATTATTTATTGATTAAGCCATATATTTCTTACCGTCATTTAATCTTTGATAATAATAATATTTGTATATTTGAAAGAAGTGTTAGAACTAGATATTAATTTAATTTTAAAACAATCAATTTTTTATTTAACAAGAAAATAATTATTTATATTTAAAGATAACTTTTAACAAAACATATTTTTATTTAATTATAGATATGAAGGATATTTCAATTTAGCGAAACAGATATACCGAATCGATGCCCCGATTGCCACACATAATATTGGACGGGATTAAGGATTTAAAGATTGACAACATTTAGAGAGCATTATTAGTGTTAAAATATAGTTCAAACAAAGCAAAGACAATGTGAATTAAGATAAATACACAAATATTTCAAATATTGTATTCTAAGATTATTCGGTAAATCTAAAGCATGTTTTGCAATGTTTAATAAATAGATGTGATCTTCAATTGCTTTCTAATAAATGGTAAATAATTGACGGCTATTATGATCTCTTTGGGAATTTTATGCTTTAATTAATAAAAATATATTAATTTATGAGAATAATCACGAGTTTTACAATATTTGAAAATACATTTAACAAACAAAATTCGTACAATTAATTAAAACAAAGCTTATAAAAAATGATATAAAATGATTGCGTGAATTGAGATGAATTGTATCACAATTTTATAAATCTTTAAAATATAATTTCTTCTAAATTAATGTATATTTACATAAAAGTAGATTTTAATTATAACTGAATTCATTTAAATGTTGTATTCTTTGCCAAAAATTGAATGAAAAGAATTGATTTCATTAATTAGTTGGCAAACAATTGTTCGCTACCTTAACATCAAATAGTCTTCTATTCCGACAACTCTTCATATTTATGAAGTATTTCTGAAAGAAAACTCATTTCAATAGTAAAACAAACAACAATTTGTAGTTTAATAAACATTATTAGGATATAAATCAATAATCAATGAAATATTGAAATAGAGATTCACTT